CTAATTGTAATTATAGAGCATGTAGTTGACTTTTAATTTCATCACACATTTCTCCTACCCCCATATTGTTGATAAGAAAAGCTACGTTATTAATATATACACATGTATATATGCTATATATATATATATATATATACACGGAAGATGATTTATAAAATATGATCTGGGAATAATTCATGCAATTACATCAGTGCAAAATGTTATCCTATATTCCTCCTTGTTGTTAACATAAGGCAAAATTTGAGCAAAATTGTTGGTCCTTACCCTTTGAAAAAACAAGACAAAGTTTGAGAGATTAATGTCTTTCGAGTTTTATTCTTTATTTATTATTATTTGAATTTATTAACAATAATTTATTATGATTATTAATTTAGAGAAGGGTAAAATTGATCAAAAGTGATATTTTTACTTTACAATTTTAGAGTTAGAATTAATATTGATATTAATATTTTTTTAATGAGGGTCGATTTTGTTAATTTCGTCCAATGTTATGAAAGAGATAACCGTATTGTACACCCTGCATTCGCACTGTACTACGTGCACAGTACCACATCTAAAAGCTTCTCTAGGCTAAATGGCTAAATCCCGTTTCCCGACTAGACAAGTGAAGAGAGGATATATACTTGCTTCATATTATCTCTAGATTTATAATCCACTTCTAACATTTTATCAAGATTAAATCTTATTAATTTCAAATTTTATTTAAAAATTTAATAAATTTTTAACTTTATCTCTATTTAATATATCCATTTTAAAAATAAAATATTCTACTATTTAATAAATGTTTTCTCATTTAATTGAGACAAGACGGTAAAAATAAATATGATAATGATTGAAAATTTAAAATACCTTATAAATAAAATTAGAAGAGTATCAAATTATAAAAAAATTTTAGACAATATTACACATATAAATAAAGCTTAACAATGACACTTTATAAGCATACGTTTTAAAAAATAAAAATATAAAACTTCTAAAAACACCTTTCATTTAATCTAACTTTAAATATAACTTGATATAATTTTAAATATACAGTAATTATTTCAATTCTTTATCCATTCTAAAAGTAATATTAAAAAAATATTATTAACAAAATTTTATTTTTATTAAATTATTTTATATTTTAAGACGATAAAATCTCTTCAATGGTATTTTATAATCTGGGAAAGGTGACTGTGCCTCAAGTTTTTCTTGGCCAAAAAACAAAAAAAAGCCTCAAATTTTGAGCTCTCCATTTTCCCTCCCCCTATTTGCACTCCGATGATGCATACATTAGCGCAAATTAAAAGTTTGTTACCCCTGGTTTCTTATGGAAATTAGAATCGCGGTGACGTTACAGTGAGTCGATTGACGAGTCATTCACGATCACCACCTGGAGTTCATATATGGAGGATCGAATTCCATTGGTGCAAGCCCTTCCCAATTCTCTGCTTTAGGTGAAAAGCAACAAGTTGGGTCCTTTATCGGTTTTGACTTTTGACCTCACAAAATAGCGATACCCCAAATCGCCAATGCCAATACAAAAAAATGAAGTCAGTCGCACGCATCATTTTTTTACAATTTTTTTTTTAACAATTTTGTATAATGTAGGAACCGACATATGTTTAGTTAGCACGACATCATGCACAGTAACGGGCCTGCTTATATTTGAGGATTTGCAAATGCCTTTACTAATTTAGGAATATATGTAAGTTAGTGTGGTAAGTTTTAAATTTTTGTGTCCATTATCCTTATAATTTTGAACTCCTTTCTCTTTTACGATTTTCATATTAAACGATCTATGCCATCATTTTCCAAGGTTTTGTGTCATTTCATGTACTCTTTCCGTTAAGAATTATGAAAAAACTTGTAACTAATTTACATTACCGATATAATAACTTAGTTAGTATTATAAAAATTAGATAGTATTTTCATGTTTATCGACACCACATCTCAATTAAAAGATGTCTCATCCTCCAGCCGATCCAATCCAATCGACCAAAATGTTGGGTGCTCTTTTTTCAACGGTTAAAGTTGAATAATACTCGTTCCAATTTTATTTATAGGACAAGGGTAGAAGATTTTTTTAATCATATTTATAAGTTACATCATTAAATTTTTATTATATATTTTTCTTTTTGTCCTCCATTAAACATTGGAGAAAGAAAATATGTCATTAAAATATGTATATTTAATAGAGATAAAGTTAAGAATTTATCAAATTTTTAGATAGAGTTAATAATAAGTTTTAAGATTTTTCTTAATTCTAATACGACATGTTAAAAATAATTTATAAATAAGATTAGAGAAATATGTGAAAAAGAAATTGGGTGACATGGAGAGGAAAAGACAATATAAGGATAGGAAATATGATGAAAATTAAACAAAGGAAAAATGAGCTTAATATTCAAAAGGATGTGTTGACATAGTAGGAAGCTTGGATTTTTGCAGTTGGATTTCGGGAAGAAGACAAGGCAGAACAAATCAACACGAGTTCGGCGGAGTAGTATATATGTCCCCACGGCGCAACCAGGACCATCAAAAAGGAAAGGCAGAACAGAGAACTCGACCACCTCTATTAATTCCATCAATTAATAACTTTGCTATCACAGAAGTGACGCTTGCACCCTCAATCACTCACTTATTGTTGCGGTGTCACTATCCGTCTCCTGTCATCTCTAAAGGTGTCCAAACATTCACCTATACCTTACGTTGCCTGTGACTGTTCAAATAAATATTTGTCCGTGTATTTGATTGGTGTATGATTATTAAAACTGTCAATTAGAGCTGACCTTCAAAATATCAAAACTCAGGTTTATGAATTTTTTTTTTTTTTAGTTATGAAGCTCATTTTATCTAATATGAAACTTTTTATATTGACTTAAATGCACTTATATTTAAACAACCTAATAATAATATACAGAAGGATCGGAATATATAAACAAGGGTACACACAAAGCTGCATTTTGAATTTTGATCCTTATTGGAATACATGAATTTAATCAATACACTTGATGTTATATATAAATCTATTGGCATGTGCATGTGTGTGTATTCAGGGTGCAAGTATTTCGATTTTCGCATATAATTTCATGAATTTCAAAAACTCAACCAACCTTCAGAAAGTCCGGATGCATGAATGAATCTCCACTACTATATATTACCTACGCAATATCACCATGTAATGGTCGAGAGAGCGATTATTCGTCATCGACTATGTAATCTTCAAAATTAGTGTACGAGCAAGTCTTTGGTATAAATTGATTAAAGGTGGTGTAAAAATGAGAAAAGAATGAAGAAAACACGAGGAAAGTTGTTTGAAACGTCATTAAAAACCAATCACCGACCATTACACGTGGACCAGTTGAGTCAAGGGCTATAATCGAGTCCAAGATGGTCGATGCAAGTATGAACGTTGATACTAATGGAACGAGAGATTAAATGAATCGTAAAGTCCTTCACACGCAGTAGAGAATTTCGTAGGCCGCCCATGTTTTAAGGTTGGTCGATCCTCTTGGTGCGTGTGCTATCGTCCAGTTTACTGCAAAAAATTAGTCAGCTAATTAGCAGATATAACATATATAGCCAAAAATTAAGTGGACTATTATACGTACTGGGACAAGGGGCAAGATAAAAACGTCATGTTTGTCCCTTGGGGGGGGGGTGGGGCTGAGGATGGCTCAATAATTTAATTGCAATGAACTTTTACTCACAATCTAGAGAAATCGATCTTGACACATGCATGTTTTTGGCACTTCACTATTAGCTAGCTTATTAACCATGTGCGTTTATTTGGCAGCGCGATCATCACTTGATGAAAAACATCAAAAATTATCATTGCTTCCGAACGCGATCACGAACATAATCAGCAAAAAGAGCACTTTATTATGTTTCTAACAATTCTGAGCGACGTGTTGAAATTCTGGAATTCTTACTCGCTGTCTCCCACCAAAATTTCGTGTATTTCCTCCATTTCTGTATGTAGAACTAGGAAAACTTGTTGTTTTGTTTTTATTTATAAGTAAAATCATATATTTTAATAAAAAATTATTATTATTTTTTAAAATCACCTTTCATAAATTCATAATTTTCATTCATGAAAAAAAAATCAATGCAGCCTTATTTTGATTAAATAAAAAAGTATTTTAGTTCATCTTTTTTATTTCCAGTCACAATTGTATATTATTGTTAATTGATTTTCTTAAATTATGTGATGTAATTATTTTTTCTTATATGTAAAAATAAAATAAGTATATCTAAATGTGTCATCGGACTCAAATCTAATAACGTACATGTATTTTAACGAACTAGATAGATACCCTTTCTGTCTATATATAAAAAATATTTTTTAAAGTTTATTTTATTTTTAAATATAAGAAGTGCCATGATATTGGATGCTTCACCTCATTACTATGACAGTAATTGTGATATTATTATGAACAAAACTAAAAAACTATTATAATTTTATGTGATTTTAATTAAATAATATAAAATTCAGTTAAAAATACCTTTTATACATATAAATAAATAGAGGGAGTAAATTAATAATATCCACAATGTATCCTAATTAAATTATTTTATTATTAAGCACATGAAATATATCATCTTTAAATAATTTATTAATAAAGAAGCTTGGTCCAGGACAGCCAAAGGCTGTGTTTTTTAATGGATTATGAGCCTAGCGACCAGATCATAATCCGTGGTGGGACCAAGTGGTTTCCCAATATTAAATTGAAGTGGCTACAAAAATAACCTGCACATGGGCCCGTGCCATAATACTATTGAGAAATGGAGTTAAATTCAACTTCATTCCGTTGACACGCACGCTGGCTCTATGATAGTTGAGACCCCACATATCACTGTCATTCATGAAACGAATTAATTAATCGATATATATTTCAATGATCATTTTGTCACTGAAACTCTATACGCTTGTAAATGGAGTTATCGATCCAGGACATATCTTAAAATAAAAATGAATAAAGGATAATTAAGTTGGTGCACTATAAATGCCAGAAAAATTCAAGATCATACAAACACAAGTATACTGCATTAAGGAATATTGTGTTGATGCATAGAACGACTTTGGATAAACTAGGCCATTTTCACAACGGGAAAGATGAAAGAAAGAGGTGTAATTGAATATTCACACCCTCTCAAAAATCCGCCCAAAAAATAACAAAACCAAATTAAAGCGACGAGCCATTGCGGGTAGGTTAACGCAGCGAATCAGCAGTGAACTACGCAAAAACAAGAAGGAAAACCCTTTGTGGCGTCACCGCTCAGACTTGGCAACAAAACAAACCCACGTTAACTGATTTATGGTAAGAGACACTCGGGCACGCCTCAAATTCCTCCAGAATCCAAATGGAAGAAAAAAGGAAGAAAGGAAAGCGCCCTGGTAAAAATTATTATTAACAGAAGTTATTCCTGATCATATCCAATGTTACTGTAAGACGAAGCACGTGCGAACACATCTCGAACCGACCATCAATTTAATTGCCTCAGACCCTGCCCCAGACTTCTCACTATGTCCTTTGCTGTCACGCGCTGTTCCTTGTTCAGCTGCAAAAAATTGACGCTACTCTTGTGACAAGCCGTGATGAAATGCGGAAATTTTGAACTAAAGAACTTCAAAATAATTATACCTGAGCAACAATAGTAATATCAAGAGTGGCATTCCCGAAGGGCAAGAAGCTGCTGCTCTGGACAGTGAGATGAAGATGTTGTAACTGGGTGAGTATGGTGGCTGCATTTCCATTGTGTTTGTCACAGTGGATTCTGATGAGTACCTCCTTGCCCGAAACTCTTGCTTCGATTTCGGGCAATGGCCGGAGGGAGTGGCTGTTGGAATTTTCATCGGATGAGGAGTAATCATCGTCGGCATAGAGAACAGACCTGTTGACGAAAACTGCGGTCTCAACGGCCTTCTTGGCTACCTGTTCCTCCAGAGTCTTCACGCGGTCCTGTAGTTGTTTCACATAGTTGATAGCATCTCCTAGGACTGAAGCCTTATCCATCTGCACGTATGTATTTATATATGGTTGTCAGAAGATAACGTTCAGATTCTTGACAGAGTACGAGATACTGAGTAATTAATTAACCTGACGGTTAAAGTACCTTTTTGAGCCCGGGAAGAATGGCCGAAAGAGCAATAAACCTCTGGCTGAGCTTTTCCCTTCGTTTTCTTTCGGCCATGACGTGATCTTGAGCTTGGACGGGATTTCTGGTGATGATGGCAGGTTTTCTCTCATGTGGGAGAAAAAAGGAATCAGGTTTGTGGTCATAATTGGGTTGAGAAATGGAAAATGGTGCACTGAAGTCCAGGTTATCAGCAGAGAAAACAGCCTCCGTTTTAGGCTTGACCACAGTACTAGAATCCAAGCTGTAAAATTGGTGAGAAGCGACGTCGGGGGATGAGTTAGAGTTCTCGAAAGAGAGGATTTGGGAGGTGGAATTAGAAGCAGAATGGTTGGAAGGAATGAAGGGGTCAGCGATTGTTGTAGGGGTGCAATAGGAGGTCCAGCTAATGTTGTGGTTGCTGCTCTTTAGTTGCTTGCTTTCTCTTGGTTGGGCAACCGAATCCGGACTCTCCACCGGGAACCATTCATTACGGCTTCTTTTGGAGTTGAAACACGAGTAGCTATCCTGGAAGTCATCAACCTCGTACCCCCACTCCACCGGGTACTGCTCGAATATGCTCGGATCCTCCATTCCCTGTCAAGTTTCAAAACTTGATTAGTTACGGATGCAACCCGCCTACTGCTAAATCGACTTCAAAAGTTCACTGCCTTGTATGCTTACTAGCTCAGCGAAGTACTTGGATGAAGTCTCCATTTTAATCTCCTTTTCCTTCGAGTTGGGTTAAGCAACTTAACGCTGAAAAAGCACCAGCAAAACTGATCTTAGAATACGGCTTATATACTCGAGACAACGCTCTGTCAAGTTGCGACATGTAGATATATTATCGGGGTTTTTCACTGGCCATACAGATCCTCCATTATTTTAATTATTTACATGATTATTTGATTGAAGGTAAAGACCCAAGTTTCAGAGACATGTATTTCAAGCTGGGTGAAGAACAATGGCTTTTGAGCCCAGCAGTGGGGGAAAGAGGGAGGATCGATCAGGAGTGAGATTGTGTGTTTAAATTTCAAAACTCAGTTATAGCTAAGGGAGAACGTTGAAGAAAATTAAACAGGTAAATTGAAGGGAAATTAGATTAGGACGACGAGCTTGTGCTTACCTTCAAGGGAGAGAGAAGAGGAACAAGATCGAATGAAGATTATGTTTTTCCAAGATTTTTCTTCGACGAGGAAGAAATAAATCCGCCGAACGGGTTATATATAGGGGTACCGTGCACGCTTCATAAACAAATTGAAGCACCCACGTGTGAAAATGGTATCCGAATTTCCTTTTCGTTGGTAGTCACTGTTCCGATTAAGTCCCTGGGCATTCTCGTCAATTCACTTCCTCAATTAGTCAAATTGTGGGTTCTTTTTCGCACCCAACTGTATAATACAATCCAAACAAAAATCATATGTCTAAACTGTTCTTTGGGGCTAAAATGTCAACTTAACTGCTTTTATGAAGCACCATGTGTCCCTAATAGTTCCATATATATATATATATATATATATATTCTTATTCAACCAATTTTGTTGACCCAGAGCGATTCCGTAAAAGCAAGCACGGTTGAAAAAGAGAGCCAGCCGAGTTTATTAACTATTCATCCTAGGTCATGCCTTGTTGTTCATTTTAATTAATACTCTCTTCATTTTAAATTATAAAATACTTTAAAGTAAAATTTATTATTTTAAAATATAAAATATTTAAAATTTTATTAAATATATTTATTTCAATATTATCCTTTCTTTCTCTATTTAATACCAATTAAGTGTAGATTTAATATTATTAAATGGATAATATTTTTAAAAGTTTATATTTTTGTTTTGAAAAAATAAAGTTGTTAAGTGTATTTAATGAAGTTTATTAATATGTAAGATTTTATTTAAAAGAGTATTATAATTTAAAATGGAGGGAGTATATAATTGACTTAAAACTATTGAAATATAATTGACTTAAAGCTATTTTTTAAGGAGTATCTAGTATCCTATAAAATGGATGATGCAAAGAAATTTATCAACTATCAAAATCATTGCATCCATCACCTGCCGTCCATTTCTCACAAACGTTCCTTTATTTTTAAACTTATGAGACCCAGCATGTTTTAAAGCTTGGTTACTTCACACACACACCCTCTCTCCCTTACAGACTCTCTCTCTGTCTCTCTCTGATTCATCCTTACTTTTGTCTCCTTCACTCTCTCTTCCCCCCAATGTATCTATCTACTTCACTCTCTCTTCCCCCCAATGTATCTATCTACTTCACTCTCTCTCCCCCTGCTTTCTTCATCCTTATAGTAAAGGCTACTTTAGTGTTGAAGCACTCTCTAGGGTTGGCATGCTGGAAGGGCCATGCCTAGGTCACTACTATCTATGTTGGTGCCACTTTTCTCACTCTTTGTTAAAGTTCTCTCAAAAGAGCTTGCCTTAAGTCTCAGCCTCATAGCCACCACATCCACATGACACCATCTTCATCCCATCCTCTCCATCACAGGGCTTATGTCACCCTCAATTAGCTCCCTACATCACCTCCCTCTTCCCTTCCTCCATTCCTAGTAGCCATGGGTGGCACGACATTAAGTTCAAAGGGGAAAATGCACCCCCTAAACCTCAAGAAAATTATAAAAAAGGATCATATGTTTCATTCCTTTGCATTCTTTGGTTCAAATATTTTACACCCTTAACCCAACTTCAAAGATATTTGGGTTTAGGAAAAAAAAAAGTATGTATGTTTAGTTGAAGGCAAAAAAAAATTAACTCAAAATTTTGATAAGGAAAGATTGATTGGATTTTTCAAGTTCTATCTATGCGAGTTTTCTTCCTCTCATTTAATGATGCTTGATAATCAACTTGAGACTTACAATATCATTGATATGCCAAGCAATTCTGAATTTGCATCATTAAAAAGAATTGATATTCTTGTGAAAAAATTGGTGGAAACAAAAAGACATATAGTTTATTACTTAAATTATACTCTCTTGAAGTTAGTAATAATATAACCAAGTGTTACAACAATGGTAGAGAATATCTTTTTTGTTACAAAGTTTGTGAAAAATTAGTTGCAGAATTGTATGAGAAATCCATTAATAAATAATTGTCTAAAGACTTATATTAAAAAACACATTTTTCTTAGCATTAACAATGAGATGATTGCTCAACGATTCTGAAACATGAAACCACACAAGATATAATAGTAAGGAATGCACTTACTTTTTTTAAAAAAAATTATTAAATTAATTTTAAAAATGTTGCACCCTTTGATCTAAGGTCCTGGCACCACCACGGATTAGCCCTCTCTTTCCAATACTCTCGTTGTTGCCTTAAAACAAGCTCAGGCTCACCATATAAGAGGATGCATCAAGCAGCAATAGCAACAATGACTTTTGACCCCCATTAAGGTTGAGCTTGCATAGCTTATAATATCTATCCTTGATGACCCTAATATTAGCAAGGTCATAAGAGAGGCCAACTTCTCTAGTGCTGCTTTCAAAAACAATCTTAATGACTCTTCACCCTTATCTGTTATCCAGTGTTATAATAGCTCTAAAGCAAGAGGAAGCACATGCTCCCCCTATGAGCTTTAAGTTGTTTTACCATCTCTCTCTCTCTCTCTTATACATTCATTACTATAGAAAAGGGGATAATTGATACCCTATAATTTATGCTTATTTAAAAGAAAAATGACAAACAAAAAAGGCAAAGAATACTTGATATTTGTTCTGAAAAAAGCGTCAAATATTGAAACACATACTTGACAATTATTTGATAATAACTATCAAGTATATATATTTTATGGTTTTTAAAAATAATCATAAAATAAATATGAAATTTACATCTTGGTCTTGGATAAATAAGTGTCGAATTAATAATTTTAAAAAATAAAATTATACACATATTTGATGCTTATTTTAAAATAACCGTCAAGTATTCTCATTTAAATTTTCTTCCAAAATCATTTTTGCTCTCCATTTTTGCAAATCGTTTGTCTTCAAAAACAAACTCGAAGCCATTGAAACCCATTTTTTGTCACTCCAACTGCCATAAAACACATCTTTGGTCTCAAATCTTGAGGGGTTTTGGATTTTCAGCCTCCGTCATTCTTGTGAGTGCTCATGTGTGTAGATTCTCGGCCTCTATCATTCTCCAATATACTCACCTCTTTGTTTTTCTACATATTCAGCTTTCCCTTTTCTTGTTGAGGTTGGTTCTCGCTTTCTCAATTATTAATCTTTATTTTGAATGTATGGGTTGTTGATTTTGATTTTTATACTCAATAAATAGTTTATGTGTTAATTATTTTAATATGCATTATTGTTCTTATTAGTGGGTGTTTGAAATTTTGAGTTTTGGGTACTTAATTATTAGATTAATGATTCATCCAATTGTTTTGCTAGCATGAGGAGATTTATTAAGTATATAAAAATAGTATACCACCTAATTACCTTATTTTCTTTAATGGTACACACATCTTTTTGAGTTTTAGGTGTTTGTTCTATAATTGAATGATTAGTTTAGATTTATATTTCTTGAGTTGTCGATTTTCACATTACTAACTTTTCAATTGATTGAAAATTGGCTTATGTAAACATATTTTTGAGGTTTTAAATTGATATATATATATATATATATATAGCGTTTGATATAGTTTATATGATTTTAATTAAAATTGGGCTTCTTATTAATGTTGTTATTATTGTTGTTGGATCACATATAGTCTCATTATGGATACCTTGATTTTTCTAAAAGCATAAAGCTTTGGTAATACTCATTTTAAGCCGTTATATATACTATCAATTTTTTTAAAATTATTTTTGGATATAACTTTGTGTGATTGTTGTTCTGGATCCTACTATTATTTTTTATTTATATTAATAAAGAGAGGGAATTAAGCTCAAGAAACTCTCTTTTTTTCTCGTGCCTTATTGCTAAGGATGAGCTGTTACTACTTGTTACAAGCAAATATTTTTTTATATTTATTTGTTTAATAACACGTGCTATTTCTTTTTAGGGGGCACTGGATGCTTATTGAGGTTAATCTTGTTACTTTAAAAATATGATATCTCGATTCCCTTAATAGAGAACCAAGCAACAGGAAAGATATAGTGGTACTTTTTAACTCGTAAGTTAGATTTTTTTCACTTATTATTTCTTGTTATTTTTAATTTTGATGCATATATATTTCTTACATTCATTTCATACTTTCTTTTTAAAGTTGTGATGTTGTATTGCAATGCAACAAATAAAACTGTGTCCCTTAAGATGAGGGCATTTGAATCTTCAAAAAAAATGGGTCACTGTTAAAGTATTCATTTAATTGGTCAAGTTTTTAATCAAGAAACTGTCTCATGTTTTACAATTCTATTGATATGTAGTTTTTTACAGTGTCCACTCCAACTAGATCAGAGCAATGACTGTGGTTATTGCCTGATGAAGTTTATGAAGGACATTATCACCCATGTCTCAACCACATTATTTGACAAGGTGTATATATTAATTAATTTAATTACACTTCAATTATAAATTTTAACCAATTTTAATTAGCTACCTATTAATTTAAAATTGTTGTGACTATTTGCTTATAGTACTTTGGGGACGCCTACTGCATTTGTTATAATGTTGCACATGTAGAATAAGTCCTTGAAAAGGTGGCACAATGTGTTTTCAATATGTAAGTAACAATAATGGTTAGGCCAATACAATGATTAGTTATGTATATATACACATTTTTTAGGTTAATTTTTATAGGATAGGCCACTTAGTTTTGAAACTTTAGTTTGTAAATAAGTTGAATATAGATTTTTTAGGTTTTAAGCTAAATATATAGGAATTTTAATGTCACCTTAAATGGTAAATATTATTAGAAATATTCATTATATTATATTATTTCTAGTTGCTGACTGACTATTTTTTATCCGTATCTGTATCTTTATAAAGCATCCCCTGTTGAAAAAAATGTCATAAATACTTGACGGTTATTATGAAATAAGCGTCAGATATTTGTTCAGGGGAACGCATGTTTAATTCATATACTTTATGATTTATTTCCAAACAACCATCAAGTATTATTAAATACTTGACGGTTTTTGACCGTCAAATAAAGTTTCTTTAATATATGTCACACCTTTATTTAATGGTTAAAAATCATCAAATATTGTAAAAAATAAACATAAAGTATGAGTCTT